ATATATATATATGTATATGTGTGTGTGTGTGTGTGTGTGTGTATAAAACATGAACATGCTACCTAGAACTATGTTGCATATATTGTATAAGCCAAAGATCATCCTCCTTATTTCATCATTCAACAATGAAACCATCATAACTGGAAGAAAAAGAGTAGAGTAGAGTGTGCCACCAGCTCATTTCATTTTGCTCCTATTGTCCTTTTTAGCAGGTACTGAATCTCTTTTTTTCTTAGGGTAAAACAATGTCTTTTTTAATACATGAATGAAGCACAAAGACTGAGCAGCTTTTTACATACAAAGCTTTAGTTAGTCAGTTTTTGGATAAAGTCTGAATGAGGAGAAAAAATGACTGACTTTAGGCTGTAGTACCACTCTTTCTTCTGGTGTTAGATACATATTTGACATTTGAAAGACACTATAAAGAGAGACATTATAAAACAAAAAACTAAAGCTGGCAAGCTGAAATGATACCAAATATATTGCTAAAATATTAAGGGAACAGTTGATCATCAGTGTACAACACCAAGTCAGTTAGACTTCAGGGATATCAATCTGTCCATTTAAGGAAGCACAAGTGACTGAATCAGTTTCACCCATGGAAATGAAAGTGACAACAGGTACAAGGGAGAGGCAAAAACAAGACAGCCCCCCAAATGAGAAAAAGGAATGGTTTTGCATATGGTGGCCACAGACAAATGCTCTTTCATCCTTCCTGACTAACTCGTCTCAGGTTTTATGTTTTCCTAGTGTCCTTGTCACTACTGGTAGCATGAGGCAGTACCTGCAACCCAATCAGGTTGCATGGGTAGTCCAGTTACTCCAAGATGGCACATCTATATGTACATTCATAAAAAGGTCTCAAGAACATGGAGGAGATACCAGGAGAGCTAGACAGGGCTGTAGAAGGACAACAACTCAGCAGTGGGACTGGTATCTTCTCCTTTGTGCAAGGAGGAACAGGAGCTGCACTGTGAGAGCCCTACAAAATGACCCCCAGCAACTACTGGTGTGTATGTTTCTGATCAGACTGTCAGAAACAGATTCCGTGAGGGTGACCTGCCACCAAAGCTGGCAGGTCACCCATTGGTGCCCCATTCTCTTCACAGATGAGAACAGGTTAACAATGAGCACATGTGACAGGTGTGAAAGAGTCAGGAGTTGCTGTGGTGAACATTATGCTACCTGTAACATCATCGAGCATGACTGGTTTGGTGGTCAGTGATCATCTGGAAAAGCATATCCTTGGAGGGCCACACAGACTTCCACGTCATAGCCAAGGGTACCCTGACTGCTGTGAGGTACCAGGATGAAATCCTCAGAGTGACTGTCAGACCTTACGCTGGTGCAGTGGGCCCTGGGTTCCTGGTGCAGGACAATAAGGTCAAGGTCAAAGGTCAAAGTGTTTATTTGTCATATCCACGTTAGGAAACGTGTTTCCCTGTACAATGAAATTCTTACTTTGCCGTCAACATGAATGCCACACCATACAAGTGAAATATAAAGTAGATGAGCAATAACACAAATCTAAATAGGCAGTAACACAAATCTAAGGCACTTTAAAGCAGCAAGCAATAACCAGCTTCATGTGGTCAGATTGTCTGGGCAGTTCCCGGATGACGAACGCATTGATGCCATTGACTGGTCCTCATGTTCTTCTGACCTAAATCCAACTGAGCACCTATGGGACATTATGTATTGGTGCATAGGATGCCACTAAGTGGTACCACAGACTGTCCAGGAGCTCATGGATTCTCTGATCCAGGTCTGGGAGGAGATCCCCCAGGATACCATCTGCCGATTCATCAGGAGCATGACCAGATGGTGTTGGTAGTCCATACAGGCACATGGTGGACCATACACACCTCTGAGTCACATTGTGAGTTGCCATGATGAAATTTGTGCAACTAAGATGAGCCTGTGATTTCATTTTTTTCACTTTGGTTTTCACTGTGAGTTTGGGTTGATGATTTTGGTTTCCAATGACCAGTGTTATGTTTGTTCTGAACAAATTATACAATGTACATTAGTAATGGTTTTCAACTTGAATAATTTGTTTATTAAGATCTGATGTGTGATTTAAGTGTTCCCTTAATTTTTTTTAGCAGTGTAGTTATAGGGAGGAAACCAGATAAGACGCTTTCGGACAGAACAATTTTAGGGATTTAGTTCTAGGGATTATCCTACTGGAGAGCTCCTCCAAGAACTACACACCTTCATGGGCTTTTTCTGTTTGCATTCCCACTGCCAGTAGGAACGGTTAAGTGATGTAAAATGAAGCTGGCTGAATATTAGTGATTAGCAAACAAACTTACAATGGTTAAAATATACAGTAGTGATGTTACATTACCAGTAAATATTTTCTTTATATATTGATAATGTTAATTATATAAGGAGCCACTAGTCATGTAACTGAAGGTGCATTTGGGTAATTTCTGCTTATTCTGTACATCCCTTGTCTGTTGGTGTCATTTAGGCTTTGACTTTGTTGAAAACTATTTGGGGTTGTATGTTTAAGAGAGGCACACAGAGTGGATTTGTTTATGGGTGAGTTTCTAATAAAGTGCCTGCTCTCAGACAGAGCACCAAGACCATGTCATGCATATCTGTCATTTATTAATAAAATCACAGACACTGTATAATTAAGAGGAGAGAGGGAGGGTTCTGGAGAGCTGTGGTCCCAAAGCATCTGTTCCAACATATCATGTATTCCTTTAACTAGTGCAATATATCCAAGAAGACTTATTACTAGAAAAAAAAACATTTTGTTGTTATTGCACACCCTCAAATTTAACATGGCCATTTTCTTTTATAGTAAAGCCAGCAACCTACTTAATTTGACTTTTTTTAACTGCTATGATTAAAAATACACTAAAACACAAAACACAATCCTCAGCCCTTACCCACAACATGAGCCTGCAACTGAGATAACCACACCCACTATTTAGGCAGAGACACACCAAGTGGATGTGAAAGAACTAGCAGTGATGAATGCCGACTGCTGCGTCACCTCACATCACCTTTGTCTGGGCCAGTCAGGTAGAAAAAGTGACACTTGAACTCACTGCACAGACTACAGCCAACTAGCACCACCAGCGGGTGGCAGTATCTGTATTTGCCATTCAGAAAGGGAAAGAAGAAGAGCTAGAATGTGGAAGTATAAGCTATAAACAAAGCACCTCTCATTCAAAACAGCTGCTGTTTATAGTTTCTTCTAATCAAGAATATGTCTGATAAGAAGCTGCTAATGGTCCCTGGTTTGGAAGAAGAAAGGAGGCAGTGGAAAGACAAGGAGAAACGGCACTAAATGGGCAAACTCATGGATACTGCAGCAACAGGCTGAAGGGGCTTTCCTGAACTGTTCTCTTCTCATGGATTGATTCGGTAAGCTTAACAGCCAATCACAGTGGTCTCTTTCTCACCAACAAGGCCCGACTGGCTGATGCCAATTCAACATATGAAATTGGCTGAATGGCCACTGACAGGGACCAATTAGTGGCAATGACGTGGGACACACCAGGAGGACAGCACCCGACAAATGCTCCCTGACAGCCTGATGCTGACAGATGGCTTGGTGTGTCTCTGCCCTTACATGTGAGATTTTGTTGTCAGGTACAGTACAGTATGGGGGAAGTGGTGTACACTGGAAGGTGGTCCTCTGCATGCAGAGGAAGCAATAAATTGAAACTTAAGGTCAAAACACTAAATGGGGCAGAGAAGGTGTGCAGCTGGTAGACTGATAAACTGCTTCAGACCAGGGGCATGGTCTTCATTCACTGCATCTTTGAAATGACATCATCAGTTTGTACTGGAGGCAGTCAAGAGCTCTCTCCGGGTTTGGTGTATCGTAACTGCATTGCACCATTTTTTGTTGTTGTTACATGATTGTAAGTGAAAACATCACAGACATAAATTCAAGACTGATTTCATAGTATCTTAGAAATAATATACTGTTGTTGCTTATGTATATATTAAAGTGCATTTACCACTTTAGACTGGATGCTGAACAGAATCTGATTTACCATAACAAAGGCACACAGGATGTACCTTAACAGAATTCATGACTAATGTTTGGCTGAAAATACCTTTTTATGTGTTAAATATGTTGCAAATAAATTTCACAAACATGTGCCTGTGTTCCTATGTGAGCGTATGAACAAAGGTGCAATATATTTACAGCTTAGGCAGCACCTCCATCTGTATGTGTCTTTTTTTTTATTTTATCTTTGTTCCTTCAGTGCCAGTGACGTCTCTTACATTTTTCCACTCCTATCATGCAGAAATTGCCTGGACAGCCTTTTGGCTTGTGTTTGCCATCCATTTGTAATCCGGATAGAGGGGCCATGACTGTTTGGGCCTTGGGACAGCAGCAAAATCAATTGGCTAAAAATGACATCTGCCAGAATCTGCCACTGGAGCGCTCATAGGTACCATAAATGAAATCACAAGCCCTAATTGTGTGCTGATTTATTCACTTGTCTGAGTGCATCATGGCTGGACCAGCTAGTAGCCCCAGAGCCCTGTCTGTGCACTTGGTCATACATAATACATTTATTTATTTACCCATCCCTTCTGATTCACAGCATCACTGGGGGATATATACCCCCACCCCCACACACACCCAACATGCATCATCCCCCATGCCTTCGTCTACCTCCTCATTTGATTAACTCAGAACCCACCCCCCATTTTTGTGGTGGTATGTAGAATGAAATGGCTGTGGAGACAACTGTCACTTGGCTTAAGTAAGATAAATATGTCGGTGCCTGAAGCAGTTAGATCATGCTTGCATGTTTGACTGCATTTAGAATAGAGAGATATATTTCCAGCATTCTTTTCGTTGCCTTTTTGAAGTAAACTGTTCCAGGTTTTTCACCATTCATCTAATTGTGAGACAGAGTTGAGGCAGCTTACTGACGTCAGTTACAGCAGGTGGCATTTTGGCAAATAACAGCATGATTAAGAGACCGTGATTTAGAAAGCATGCAAGGCATAATTTTCACCGTATATTGTCAGTCACTTTCTCTTGGACCCTTGATAAAAGGCCACTATCACCCCAATGTGATATTTCCTCCATGCAGCCAGACTCTTCTGGGCCAGCACTGTGCTGAAACTTTAACCTAGCTCAAACACAGGCCTCAATAAAACATGAAACACTGGCTGCAAAAGTGTCTGATACAAAAATTGATACAGTCTCCACAGGCCACAACAAGAAATGTATCTAAGCCTAAGAGTTCATCTTGCTCTTTCTCTCACCTAGGGGACAGTCATAGAAGGTTACAAGCATGCCTGAGATGATACCACAGGAAAGAGACAGACAAGACAGAGAACTCTGTTTTTCATTATATCATGACTATGAGAGAGGCGCATACATATATATGAGAGAGAGAGAGATGATTCGAAATGTTGCAGGGATAAAGGGGCAGAGAGAGAGAGACAAAGAGAACAGACCAAATACAAAATCAATTTTTGGGGATGAGGTTGCCAGGAAATGACCTCTCAGAAATTGGGCAGAGAGGGATATCAGGCATATGGAATAGTATCAAATTAGAGAAGTGTATTTGTGTTGCTGAAATATGCCTTTGATGAAGCCATCTTTAAAATATCAAACATGTCATTGTGGATCTCACTTAAATGACATTTTCCAATATTTGTCCTACATTACTGTTAGCGACATCAGAATGTGTGAACATGGCACTGCGGCGGCCAGTAGGGAGATGGTGCTACGGTATCATTTAACGTGGTGAACAGCTATGCCTTTTCCAGCTCATTAGCTATCCCCTTCTTTGTCCCAGGCCATTTGATAGCAGCATTAATCTACGGCTCCACTAGGCTTCCTCTCCCTATTTACTGGTATTTCATGAAGATTACACCACTCAACCGTGTAAATGTATGCTTTTTTTCACCTACCCTGCCTAATGTGAGCCCCCAAACTCTGTGGAGTACCTTGTATAAACTTCTGCGACATGCAGCAGATTAAACAGTGCATTTCCCCAAAAGCCCAAAGAGATGAGAGGCAGGAGTGAATGAAAGGCGATCAAAGTGTTTGTCAGCAAGCCGCATCCTGCTCGTTCATGCTCACAAGATGTTTTTTGTGTGTATGTGTTTACCAGCAACATGGCTGCCACACTGCCATAAACACTGTCCTCCTCTGATTAGTATCACCTGTTATTTGATTACAACTACTTGTCTGTCAAGATGACATGATTAAAGATTATGACAAAAAAACCATGTCCTGTCAGGTACTAATATCATACTGAACATCTTCTCTCTTTGAATACTTCTGTAGTGTGAAACCCAGAAATATCAACACTATACATATTTTAAACATGGAACGTAGGAATTTTCTTACCACATTCGAAAGAATAAAGAAAAATAGGCACCGACACACATCTTCAAATCTAAACTCACTTCACTCTACCAATCCCAAAATATCACAAATAAAGACAAAAAAGTCTTACATATAGAAGCTTTGGCATATGGAATCATATACCACTCTTAAGGGTAGGTATCCTCAGGGAAGTGAGCAGCTCAGTTCAGTGTCAGGCTGAACCAACTTCATAAAATACCACAACTACTTTGTCACAAACTTCTTAGAGCCCAGTTTTTCTCTGGGTAAAGCAACAGCTCTGTGATCAGTCTGGCAGACCTCATCTCTCATGGGGCATCTGACTTTTTTATGGGGGAAAGACAGGAGATGCAAACTCATTTTGCCTAAAGCTTGCCATTCATCTAGACATGAAAGGTTTGGGTGTATTTGGCATTTAGAGAGTCACGGGCATGTTTGAAGGTAAGTCCATTCATTCTCTTTTTCCCTGAAAGGGTTTGCACTGTATAATGCAACCTAAAATCAGTTGGTTGACAATAAATGGCAATTCTATCTGTCAACTGTGGCATTCACTGTGATGTGCATCACATCACTGTTATGCATGTAACAGTAGCCATTTCTCATGGAGTAATTACAACTGATCAGTGGCGCCTGCAGCCATAATCTTCTACGCACCACGTGTACATTTTTTAAATGACTTTGCCTAAATTTTACATCACTGGTGGTCATTGTACAATAGAGAAATATAGTTTCACATTTATGGCCTGATCTAATATGATATCATATCACACACCCCTAGAGTGGATCACATCATTTCTACTCCCTCATGTGAGTCCTGCAGCTTGGAGTGAGTGACAGCAGCCACACACTTAATTTACCTTCTGTCAATAATGCCTGTAACATCATTGGGACATGTGCAGGGTATTTTTTTAATTTATCGTGGCTCGTGTGCTGCATTCATGTGTTATTTTGCATACTAATTATTGTGTATGGATTTAAGTGTCAGATCAAGGACCGGATGGAGTGCACCTCCCAAGAGCACCATCGGTCACTGTGTGGAAAGTTGGTATGGGAGGGTTTTGATGAGAGAGAGGCTGCTGAACTGAATGAGCTACAGAGGTGTTGCTCAAAGACAATGTGCATGCTGCGCTCACTTCAACCTGTGCAGGGGTCATGTTTTTAAGAAAATACAGTATGTGGTTATAATGACAAAAGAGCCTGCAGTATGTTGTTAAAACTAGAAAATACAGTATGTCGTAATAATGTGGAAAAATGTTTTAATATGAAAGTATCTTGTTATAATAAGGAAATACAGGAAATGTGTAAATTATGTCAACTTGGAGGGATGAGACTTTTAAATATTTCCTGTGTTTCCCTGTCACAATGTCCATATCAAATCATATCATGTGCCGGGCTTTTTCTTTGAAATCATGAAACACAGTTGGATGGAAGAAAATACAAATAACTTAATCCTTCCTCAGTCTCAGCTGGCCAATATAAAGTTCAATTCCAGGCTATTATGTTAGCCAATAGAAGGCACTGGGTGCTATTTCTCAGGGTCCATGAGTTCCCTGTGACTTTCAGGCAGATATTAAACTGCAATGACAAGAAATGACATCAGCATCCCTAACATCTTCATAGCCACCAGTTTCACAGCATTCACATTCTGTCAATGAGATTTAGTTTAGTTTTCTGTGAGAAAAGACCAATCACAGAATCTCTCAGCAAATTAAATGGAGCACATTGCTATTAGAAGTGTCATATTTAAAAAAAAAAAAAAATCAGTTGATATAAAGTGATTCGCTATTTGTATTTTAAGAGTTTCTCAAGAGATCCAAGTATGCCAAGAATGGTCAAGTTATGAAGGGAGTAAGACTACACAGCTTTCTATCTGTAGCTCCATTAAGATCTGACACCTTTGAAAACAGACAGCTTTGTGAGGATGTGTGGGCGGTAAAAAATGGACAAATAAGACACATCACAGAGGTAAACGGTCCAGCGCTTATTTAACAAGTTGTATCAGAGTGCCATCAAAGGCCTATTCGTTCAGCTAACACGCTCCACACTTGAGCTTATCAGCATGTCACTGACAATTGTGAGGATAACTATCACTCTGGAAGCACCCCACTCCACCCACCCCACCTCTCCTTAGCAACAGATGCTGCATTGAAACAACAATTATGCATACTAGCATTCTCATCAAATGTGAATGGTGGATGTCAACTCAGTGCCATCTACCCACACACACTCCAACTCTTGTTTATGCACAAACAAATTAGCCTGTGCTTTTCTGTTATTCATTTCCTTATTCAAGATGAGAACATGACCTCACGATTGCCATCATACAGTCGTCATGGTTACAGCAAAAAACAGTAAATCCCCATAATATTGATAACAGCTCACTGGTTCCAATGATGATGAAAATCTGGGCAATGGATACAGTATATCCCTTTTTCTAAATCCAAGATACTGCTTGTCAATTTAGAATAAAAATACTTGGCACTTCCACGTAGCTGAGATGGAGAATGACCTCTTCACAGAATGTACTCAGCAGAATTATGAATTAATTATTTAACGTCATATTTATGTGCAAGTAATTACAGTGGCAAAAGCAACATATGAATGAACTGCCCCCCAAACACCTCCACCCACAGTCTAAATATCACAAAGAGAGAATGATTAGAGACCATTAGGCAAAGCCTGCAGTAGACATGTCAATTCTGCCTGCCAACATTGGAGGCAATGTAACTTCTCCACAAATTTATTTTCTTTCATTCCATATTTATTTATTTATTTTGTTTACTGGATTTGTTTGGGAGGAGGAAGTGGCTGTCAATAAGCCTGGCCATGATAGTGTGGAAGTACTGCCAGTTCCAATAAAGCAGCAGAGAGATCATCGCAATGAAAGGTGACCTTGGCATAATTGAGATTCATCACAGAGAAAGCCAGGCGAATGAAGTGACAGGGTGGATGTGAGTGAGAAAAAAAGGTGCAACTAAAAAACACAACATAAATATTACATCCATTTTATGGTGGAACAGCCAACTGTTGGTTGGGCAGCAGGGCCTGAATCTCAATGTCAGGGACTGTATTTATTTAGGCCAAGACTGCAGGCTTATAGGCAACTGATCCTCCCTACTTGTATTCTATTTTTGCAAGCAGCACACATGTGAAGTGATAAAAAAGCAGCACCCTCCAAACAAACAAAAAGGAAGAAAGAAACCAGTTTAGAGTGGCCTGTAGGCTCTCTGGATAACAAGAGATAACAAAGTGCATGTTAGGAAGCACATGTTTCAACCACAAAGGAAGACAATGACAGCTCCCTATCACATTTTAACTTGTGTGAAGCAGTATGGCATTGCATAGTGTTAAAGGCACTCTGGAGAGATGTGAGCACAGCAAGGGATGAATAGAGGTTAGAGGGGGATGCTGGCATGTATGGGGATGGATTATAGTGTCTTTTCAGACCTGCACAATATGCATGTTTGGGTCTGGGCTGGAGCTTTCACATAGCAGCCACACTGTACTCCTGGGCTGGGGGGTGGGATCCCCCAGACATCCAAGGTTTTCTGTGGCCTACAGTACAACAATGGCCCACATTCTGGGTCCACAACCCACCTGGCCTTGTCTGATAAATGGTTTTGAAATAGGACAGACACTACACTGGTTCCAGCATGCAGTCCATGTGCCCAAACACATCACTATGCATTTCTGTTGCTGATTCTGTGAGGATGATTTTCAGGTACTTCTTTGACGGATCACCTGCTGTTTCTCACAATAAGCTTTAAAGGGGTATATTAGTGGTTTAGTATTGCATATCCATTACATTGGGGAACAAGCAACAGATTACAAAAAACAAAAAAACTTTCAAAAGGAAAGGAATTATCAAAATTACTTTTTCTCAATATTATGGGTTCAAATCATTGAATCCAATGTTTCCCATAACACAACTGGACAATGGTTTTCCATTAAACCTTTTCTTGCTCCACTGTCCTTCAAACTCCACTCTTCCAATTTTTTGATGACTTCGTCTTAGTTATTTTTGTTCAGAAATAAAAACACACCTGTTTTCACTGGCCAAATTGTGCTCTTCATGATAAGTAACATTTTTGTGTAAAATTGGTGGTGTGCCCCTTTTAGTTTCACCTCTTAAATTAGTTCATTCTTAATTTTCATTGTGCATGTATTTAGTATATATCATATTTCTATGGCTGTAACTAGAATCTCATTTTGGTAAGTATGACAAATCCAGAATATCTCTGTGCTGTTCTCATTCACTTTACATTGTCACTGGTCGGGGTCATGTTTCCAATGATTTAAGAGGGAAAATAAAATAATCATCACCAATACTTTCGATATCTTATATTTTTTCAGGCCCTCATTAGCTTATTAATCCCAACAAACCCAACAAATATTCCTTAACACTACCCATTTGTTTTATCTTGAAGTAGATGAGCACAAGACAGAAAGAGCAGACAGACAATGAAATCCATAAATTCATCTTTGATATCCTTGAATAATGAAAAAATTAATGGTTTATATATTCTACAGATTATTTTGCACAGGTACATTTATTTTTCCTCTTTGACAAAATGTATTTATTTATTTACAGTAAAACCTTGGATTGTGAATAACCTGGTCTGTGAGTCTTTTGCAAGACGAGCAATTTTTAAAAATAAATTTTAACTTGATAAACGAGGTGTTATGGTTGAGGCCCCCTCACCAGGAGGGTGAGGGAGAACTGAGGTAGGACTCAAGTTTGCAGACCCAGGTCCTAGTGAAAAAAGGTGGTTTAATGGTGGTAGCACAAAGTAACAGAGTTCAGCTATACATGCAACCAGGTTTGGACAGTACAAAAACAGATTAGGGCAGTGACGGCTGAGGAGACCAGGACAAACAGGTGAGCAAACTAATGGCAGGAACCAGAATAGGAGAATCAGGACGGACAGGTGAAAATAAGAGTGGCGAACGTACCGAAATCAACAGCACAGTGACTGTCAGCGTTGATCCCGATAACGTCTAGTGTAACACGTGTATACCATACTGAAAGATAATCGACTGCACAGGGACTGTCAGCGTCGAAAATCCAATCGCGTAACAAGTAACACATGTAATATTCATGCCTACACTTGCATCTGGAAGCGGGAGAGAGGTGTCTTCGCCAACCCACTTGAAGGCCGGGAGCAGGGGAGTGGCATCGTTGCCAACCCACACAGGATCTGGAAGCAGGGGAGTGGCGTCATTGGCGCCATTTAAATAAGGTAGGAAAGTAATTACAGTACTGCGCCTCAGCTGGGCGTGACAACCCACAAGTCACTAATCACAGAATGCGACACAGCTGAGGCACTGATCCCGCAAAAAGAGAGAGAGCAGGAGAGAGAAAGGCAGAAGAGAGGCAGGTGCTGCGAATGGCCGGCATCGCAAGATTTTATAAGGGAGAGGTGTAAAATTCACCAGATCCTCAAAAGGAGGCAAAAGCAAGTACCATTGGATAGGTTTCTTGTTAAAGTCGCACAAAAAGAAAAAAGATTTCAGCGAGCCAACAGATAGCAGATAGCTCCTTGCCCTCATGTCCCTCACGCCACCCATGCTTCTTTTCAAAGGTAAAGCGAAGGTTAATTTGTTTTATTTTTACGTTATACTGTATTTTGTATTACTGTAACCATTTTTGTATGAATAAGTGGTTGTGGAACGAATCATCTGAGTTTTCATTATTTATGTGGAAATTTGCTTTGATATAGGAGAGCTTTGGATTACGAGCAACTTGCCGGAACAAATTATACTCACAATCCAAGGTTTTACTCTATCTTTATTTTCCAAAAAAGTAACACTACTTACAGTATGTTTGGGGTCCATTTGACCCAAGTAAAACTTCACTATTTTTTAAAAGGGGAAACAGTGACTAATACTAACCAAAATCCAAGTGCCTTTTGCCAGAGTACTCTTCTGACTACTAACTAACTATATAAAAATGTACATTGTATATGGGGCCCATTGTCTTCGATATTCCCTCATGTGGTGTTTTAATGATGGTGGTGGAAATGCTGTCCAACACATCTGTCCAAAGTCTCCCACAGGTGTTCAACTGGGTTGAGATCTGGTGACTGTGAAGGCCACAGAATATGATTCACCTCATTTTAATACTCATCAAACCATTCAGTGACACCCCTTGCCCTGTGGATGGAGGTGCTGTCATCCTGGAAGAGACCACTCCCACCAAGATAGAAATGTTTCATCACAGGATAAAGGTGATCACTCATAACAACTTTGTACAAATTTGCAGTGATTCTTCTCTCTAGTTAACCCAAACTAAGCCCCCCAGAGCACAACAGAGCTACAGGATCCCCTCGCTGTTGGGGTCAAGCATTCAGGTTTTTCACCTGTTTGTCACCGATCAGTATCTTGTACCTCAAAGACAGTGAACCTACTGTGGCTTTTTTATACATTTCAATGACAAATCTCAAATCCAAGGGAAACAATTATTGCAATGAAAGAAAAATGAAATGGCTCTGCTTTCCCTTTTTTATTTGCTTGCTCAACCCAATAAAGAGTAAGCAGTTTTCCTGAGGATTGCCAGATTCCCATTGGAAAGTGAGGACATTTTGGCCAATCCTCACTTTTTAAAACAGCCTTTTGAGGGTTAAGATGGGTTTTAGGGTTCGGGTTAGAATTAGGTTTAGGTTAGGGTAAGGATTAGGCATTTACTGTAGTTTTGGTAGGAGTAAGAGGCTAGGGAATGCATTAAGTCAATGAGTGTCCTCACAAAAATAGAAGTACAAGTACAATGCGTGTATATGTGTGTGCATACCCTGCGGGTGGGGTGGGGGGTTCTACAGACATTTTTAGTTTTGATCATTATTACTTTTTACCAGAGATGCAAAACATCCATAACACTTAATGGAGTTGATCATTGGGGTCATTTCTCTACAGAAAAAAACACACTGCAGCATTATACCCATATCAGCAGAGCTTGGAAGGATGTTTTGAGTGCTACAAGTTTTTTTTAAGTAAAAGGGAATGTTAAAAAAAAGATGAAGCTTGTGCTGAGGCTGCACAAACAATTAGGCACTTCCATGTTTTATAATTAACTGGCTTCATAATCTTTCAAGGATTAAAAGGGCAGCTAATGACCAAAAAAAATGGGATTTGGTAAAATCAAAAAGGATTAATTACTTCTCATATTTTGCAAGGTGACAGTAATTACTTTCATCTACTCCAACAAAAAAGGGAATAAAATAATTGGCAGACACTTAATTAAAGGTTACAGTTTTGACATAATTGTGAAAGACAAGACAATTAAAAGTCCTATTATTTAATCAAGATACATACTGAGTAATTGCTGTGTTGCTCTCTGGAGGGCTAGCAAATGTGGGCTCTGTGAAGGGTGGAGAGGGTTTGGTAAACATTGAGAGGATAGTGAGAAGGATGGACTGCTATGTCCTGCTAACCCATCCAGACAAGGTTATTGCTAGGGTTCAAACTTCAGAGGGGCCCTGGAGGAAACTCAGCCACCTCTATAGCAGATTATGGTGAGCCCCATAAGAATTGAGAATGTGAAAACCTCCCATTATTGTCAAGGTTATACCAGTAAGATACCTCAAAAAGTCAATGGTCATATTCCCAAGAGGCTCTTGGTGATTTGTTACCTGGATGTTTCAGACAGAGCTACCTCAGAGAACAGAAACTTTGGAAGAGATAAAAAGGCTGGTTTGTCTTCAGCACCCAATGTTAATGCACATATCTTATTTGAAATGTGTGCTGCACTTGCAAATCATTAGGCTGTGCCACTGCAAGCCCACTGAAATTTAGAAGCGCAGCATACAAAAACTGGCCAATTCTAATTATTTTCTTGAATTCGCTGGGTTGAAAAAATATTAAAGAGAGAAAACTTAATAACAAGCATCACAAAAATGTACCTCAGATTCTTCATGACATGACAGCAGACATCACTAAAAAAAAGTATAAATATTTTATAGTTACATTTATTGCACTAAAGTTGGCATGTGAAAAGTTTGTTTTGTTTCAGAGGTGTGTGTGAACTCTTGTGCAGTCCCATAGCTGGTAAAACAAACAAAAAAGTCTCGGATGACCTTTGAATTTCTTAGCAAAATAAATCACGGCCTACATGTAGCATGTGACTTGCAGCAAGCATTCACTGAAACTTCCATTCCACATTAGAAACAACAAATTGTAGCAGACAAACAATTCTTATTTACGTATGTGTGTTGTATATATCATCTCATTTTGTTCACGTAGTAGCATCCAACACTGCTATCTGTTTATCTCTGTATGTCCATCTCCTAACAATCATTCTTTGTTACTTTGAAATTTGACATTATTAAATACATATTATACATTTAATATACTTATATCAGCAACATTTCAGTGTACTATCGGCTAAGCATAAATTCATACTATAAATGAAGCAGCTTTAGATTTAGTTATTGACTTTACAAGTTAGAAGTTCACAATGTGTTTGTAACTAATGCTAGCTGGCATTACTTGCTTTGCATCAATTGCTTCTGCCACTGACACACACCTTGTCCTCAAAGAAGCAAGAATGTGGGTGTCAGCAACATATTGTTTGCTATATTGCATGTTCTCCATGCTGTAAATGCTATCTAAAAATTTCAGGTAGCATTGGACATGGTGGACTTGGATATTTCTTTCAGTTTAGAAATGTTTTCATAGTTGTTAGCTAGTAGGAAAAGAATGGATTAGTAGACAAACCAACCCAATCTCTTAGAAATAATTTTCATATACTACCCATATAATTTGTCAGAGGTGGCACAGCAGTGCGGTGGTTAGCTCTGTCGTCTCACAACAAGAAGGTTCGAGCCCGGGCCCAGAGCCTTTCTGTGTGGAGTTTGCATGTTCCCCCTGTACATGTGTGGGTTCTCTCCAGGTACTCTGGCTTCCTCCCACAGTCCAAAGACATGCATTACCTGTAGGAGGAAGTGAGTGAGTGAGTGAGTTTGTCTATATGTCAGCCCTGTGATATGGTGACCTGTACAGGGTGTACCCCTCTGCTCACCCAAAGTCAGCTGGGATTGGCTTCAGCACCCCCGCAACCCTATTCAGGAATAAGCGGTATGGATAATGGATGGTTTGCCAGTTAGGGATGCAATGTTTTGTTTTTGTTTTTTTTGCCAGTATAGGATGTGCTATATTTTTGTACACTATCCTCTCTTACTAAATTCAGCTAGAATAGTGAACGTACTAAGCACTAAAATTTGACATGTTGTGCCCTATGTTTGGTTAGGTTTAGGCAACAAAAAAGTGAGAGAGAGAGAGAGAGAGAGAAACAGATGTCAAAAAGTAGTTATAAATTAACTGGCTCCTGTGCCATTTTTCCAGCCAAATTTATTTGTCAATGAATACTTTCAGTGTGGGCATTTTGTGACTTGATAAATACATTAAAACATTTCCTAACTATGTTGATATAAAAAAGTAATCCAGACAACATTGCTGTTTTCTATAGTATTATTAATAGTAATATTAACAGGATTTCTTGGAAACAACACTGGACAAACAAGGCACAGGGAGTGAACAGAAGATGCAAGATATACTTAGAAAAAGGTTACTTAGTGAAAGTTGTGTTGCTTTTTAATACAGTGAGTTTTACACAGTTTCTGGTTCAAATTTTAGATATGTCAGCATAGTTGAGTTCTATTGGTTAATGTCTACACCAGCCTGTTAAGTACAATCTTTGTTTCATCTACACTGTAATGGTCATATATTATCCAGACAGACGTAAGAGACAGCCAGTGCTGAACTTTGACAACAACCTTTTTCAACCTAAATCTTTTCAAACTCATAAAACTCAAAAAGCCTGACTCTCCACTGAAGTGCATGTAAGAGGCCACGACTTCTTGTCTGTGATATCTAGGTCAGACATAATCAAACATCAGATTCTCAGCCCAAATGACTGATTCAGAGAGCAGCCATCACTCATGTCTGCCTCCTTAAGGTTTGCTCTTTGACTCAGTCTCTCTCTCCTTCCTCCATTTTTCCATCTTCAGTCTAATGGACAGTAGCCAGGATTTCTCCTCGGAGGTAATTTTCCTCAGGTATTCTTTAATTACATATAATTTTGTATTCATGGTCCAGGTATTCATCACCACTTTGCTCATTGCTCGTTGGCTGAATGATGAAAATTTTCCACAACCATATGCACTTCCCAAATGGAATTACTCTGCCTCAGAAGAAGAAAGGGGTGAAGAAAATGAAAGATTTGCCTGGACAGACAAGATGAGACAAGTTCTGTTGATGAATGACAATGAAGCTGACTTGATACAGTATCTCAGAAAAGTTTTAAATGAAAGACTTCGCTGAGCTCACTGAGAGGAATGCAGTTCTTATTGAATCTGTCAATGGTGCCCGGCATCCACAGTATTGTTGTTTCTCAACATGACATCAATTTATGATGACTCTAAACATAATTGCACAGGGTAGAGCTGAATCCTATACTGTCTAACCCCCACCCCCCAATAGCTATTAATGTTTGGTTGTGCATCCATCAAGTTCCTATTTATGAAGTTACATTTGCTAATTTACATTGTCAAAGCACCAGTCTATCATAATTGCCTCACTGTTTGTTTGATCATCGGTTCATCCTAGTATTGCTCTGTGAAGAGAATATAACATAATTGCTTGTCTAATCACACCAGGTTCACATTTATTTTGCCAAATCATATGACCTCAGTGAGACTGAATTCCTTAAAAAGGACCACCAATTTGTGCATCAGAATATTTTAACTAAATATTGTGTAAATGTTTTTAGTATAACTGCCATTGGAACTGAGTTAATGTATGAAGTACAAAGTAGTAAGATATGAAATCCTATTGTAGGTACTACAGTAATTGTGCATCAAAAGAGAGGCAAGCTGTATCCATGTTTTAATGCGGAAAATATGAGAGTGTGAAATCCACAGCTTCACAGACATACCAGAAAGCCTTTGTTCAACTGGATTTGCCTAGAAGGAATGAACAATCTAATCAAAGCTTGTTCCCCCTAAAGAATACTGTTAATGAGTTACAGCATTCCCGACATTTTTATTCAGTCTTGTGGGTATATATTCTAATAATTATTGATGTCTAATTATCACCAAAATGCTGTAAAATGTTCCAAAGATGGACAGCATCAGTGTGTTGCAGGCATAAAACATAATGCCACTATCACTGATGTAGAATATTTAGAAAGCTGATATTTAATGATGAAAACATTTTGAGATTTACATTTTTCTGCTGAAAATGATCAGTGATTGCAAGGACACAGTGGATGTTTAACAGATCAACAATGACAGCAGTTCTGTGTCACCAAATGCTATCGTTGTTGCAGCATGTTGCTCCTCTGACTGAACTGTTTGACACCCGCTGTCACTCCTCAGCAACCCACATGCCAGGCCAGGGAAGTACACAACAGATGGAAATGGAAGTGAAAATAATTATGCTAAACAAATTGGTTTTTTGTAGTGGCATTTCTCCATTTCACATTCCAGTAAATGTTGCATTGTCCATTGTCAGTATGACAGCCAAGAATGCCTGGATTGCTATTCCTACTGGAATCAAACCCACAAAGTGCTTTTTACCACTGTGACACATTAACTGTACCACGTGGGACAAGTGGTCTGCAATTCAATTTTATTGTTTGATTTTTTTTTTAAATTAAACTATTAAGCCATGATAATTAGACATGGACTTTAGGATCACTCTGTACAATAGCCCTCCTCTTCAGTCTTGCAAGCCAGACTCTCTCCATATCCAAAAATGTATTCCAACAAGAGAACATTTGGCACAAGTCATAGTGTATATAAAAGAAAGTAAAATTAACCTAGGGAAATGAAGCAAAATACTAACACACCCAAATTATATATATATATACACACACACACACACACACACACACATATTAAGCTGCCTTTTATTGTACCTTTAAAATGTTGTCATCACCACTGTGGCCAGAAAGATTGAATATCAAGATGCAAGAAGCATAAGTCCCACACTGTAATTTGCCTCCCAGTGCTGTAATGCATTATATCCAGTAACTTATTATGATATCAGTTACTGCCTTTGTTTTACATGTAGACACGTTGAAGGAGGGAAACATAATTAAAGCATAGTATTAAAACTGCAAAATTAATTTTGGCTATCTGAAGTTATTTTAGGCTTAAAATTTGACTGGGTTAAATCTATCACCCAAATCATTGAATCAGATGACTTTCTTTAATGCCACAGGTTATTCTAATGCATGTTTAGAGCCAGTATTCTGAGAATGACCACAGACTCTGCAGTTCTGTGCAGTTTTTTGGGGGGGGCTTTTTAAGCTCCATGTCTCCTGGCAAACTTGAGTGTTGTGGGTCTCACTTCATATAAAGGAGTCAGTCAGTGCTCTCTGCTGGAGAAACTATCTGATGCCATCAGAAACCAACTTTAATATTTCTTCTGCATTTTTAAATGCAGTTTCTTGTTAATCAAAAGAGTTTAAAGAGCTATTTTACCTCAGATTTTCTCATTAGGGTAGGTAAAGCTGAGTTCCAAATATACTTACAGGACAAAAGCACAGCATGAAAATGTCAGTTCAGCCAGAGCTACATGAGAATCATTCACAGCAAGCTCTCTCTCAACTAGTGATCTCCACCTACAGTCCTCCTGAAGGGTTGTTGAGTCTGTATATGCCAAAGGTCTGTGCAATGTCAGGTCAGTGGAGGAAACCCATCAAAGATGTTATTAGTAGAAAACAGTCGTCATGCAAGAAGAAGAACCTGCTAGAAGAAGTCTATGTTGGCATCCATCAGAGGAAAGGAACCAACAGCAAAATCTCTCTGTTAAGTCCAGCACTGACAGGTGGGGGATTCCTTGTCAAAGCAGAAAAATCAGAGCTTATTGAAACTGCTGAAAAAAAGGGACAGCTGAGCTGTTACAGTGAAATACAAGGTAGCTGCCTGTGGCCAGAAGACAGCAAATACCAAAACATGTTCTCTTTTGGTCCTGCCATGTTTCTCTCTGCATTCTGTGCTTCAGTTTATGTCAGCGTGACTATACTGTAAATCTTTATGAAGCTACCAATAATATTGCTTGACAGAACTTTGTTTCGAAATAAAGATTTTGTTCCTGCTGGGTGCTTTTTTTGTAGTTTTTTATGGATATGACCAGCATATCTTGACAGCAAAACACTTTGTACACCCACAAGATTTCGAGATAAACTTAGATTCACTGTGCTCCAATAGACAAGGCTCATAGGAGAACCTTAGAAGGACTAAAGCTACCATCGTACTCCAAAGAAAACTACACTTAGCATGTTCTAATGAGCAAGATGACCAGTTTGAGAAACTCAATTTGGACTAAAACTGATTTCCCTAATAAACCCTACAGCCAGGTCCAAACAATACTCTACAGCATAATGTGAATTTTCATTTAAACAAGATTCAAGATATAATGAGATTTTTGTAATATATTTCACATTAAATTACTTTATATTATTTATTTATGTTATTACAACATATCACTTTATGACTATGTCCTTAAATTTGCATTTGCACATATCAACCACACTGCTTGGGTTATTCCACTTTTACCACAGATTAACATTTCTATCCGGATATAAACACAAATACAAATACCACCAGACTCTGAAACTTGCCTTACAGTAGGTCCAGTATTTACTTTTGTAAATACCCAGTTTGAGATGGGTCCCAGCAATTCTCACTCATCCTTTCAAATGTCTCGGCATTTTCTTAATGGTTTGACACATTTGGTACTGAGATATATGGTGCCCAGACAATGTATCCTGTTAATTTTGGTTTTTTTTTTTTTACACCAGCATTCTAGTTTTTAATAGAAGTATCTCAATAACTACAGTGCCTTGCAAAAGTATTCGGCCCCCTTGAACTTTGCGACCTTTTGCCACATTTCAGGCTTCAAACATAAAGATATAAAACTGTAATTTTTTGTGAAGAATCAACAACAAGTGGGACACAATCATGAAGTGGAACAAAATTTATTGGATATTTCAAACTTTTTTAACAAATAAAAAAACTGAAAAATTGGGCGTGCAAAATTATTCAGCCCCCTTAAGTTAATACTTTGTAGCACCACCTTTTGCTGCGATTACAGCTGTAAGTCGCTTGGGGTATGTCTCTAACAGTTTTGCACATCAAGAGACTGAAATTTTTGCCCATTCCGCCTTGCAAAACAGCTCGAGCTCAGTGAGATTGGATGGAGAGCGTTTGTGAACAGCAGTTTTCAGTTCTTCCCACAGATTCTCGATTGGATTCAGGTCTGGACTTTGACTTGGCCATTCTAACACCTGGATATGTGTATTTGTGAACCATTCCATTGTAGATTTTGCTTTATGTTTTGGATCATTGCCTTGTTGGAAGACAAATCTCCGTCCCAGTACTCAGGTCTTTTGCAGACTCCATCAGGTTTCCTTCCAGAATGGTCCTGCATTTGGCTCCATCCATCTTCCCATCAATTTTAACCATCTTCCCTGTCCCTGCTAAAGAAAAGCAGGCCCAAACCATGATGCTGCCACCACCATGTTTGACAGTGGGGATGGTGTGTTCAGGGTGATGAGCTGTGTTGCCTTTACGCCAAACATAACGTTTTGCATTGTTGCCAAAAAGTTCGATTTTGGTTTCATCTGACCAGAGCACCTTCTTCCACATGTTTGGTGTGTCTCCCAGGTGGCTTGTGGCAAACTTTAAACGACACTTTTTATGGATATCTTTAAGAAATGGCTTTCTTCTTGCCACTCTTCCATAAAGGCCAGATTTGTGCAGTATACGACTGATTGTTGTCCTATGGACAGAGTCTCCCACCTCAGCTGTAGATCTCTGCAGTTCATCCAGAGTGATCATGGGCCTCTTGGCTGCATCTCTGATCAGTCTTCTCCTTGTATGAGCTGAAAGTTTAGAGGGACGGCCAGGTCTTGGTAGATTTGCAGTGGTCTGATACTCCTTCCATTTCAATATTATCGCTTGCACAGTGCTCCTTGGGATGTTTAAAGCTTGGGAAATCTTTTTGTATCCAAATCCGGCTTTAAACTTCTCCACAACAGTATCTCGGACCTGCCTGGTGTGTTCCTTGTTCTTCATGATGCTCTCTGCGCTTTAAACGGACCTCTGAGACTATCACAGTGCAGGTGCATTTATACGGAGACTTGATTACACACAGGTGGATTCTATTTATCATCATTAGTCATTTAGGTCAACATTGGATCATTCAGAGATCCTCACTGAACTTCTGGAGAGAGTTTGCTGCACTGAAAGTAAAGGGGCTGAATAATTTTGCACGCCCAATTTTTCAGTTTTTTATTTGTTAAAAAAGTTTGAAATATCCAATAAATTTCGTTCCACTTCATGATTGTGTCTCACTTGTTGTTGATTCTTCACAAAAAATTACAGTTTTATATCTTTATGTTTGAAGCCTGAAATGTGGCAAAAGGTCACAACGTTCAAGGGGGCCGAATACTTTTGCAAGGCACTGTATTTGATGGATTGCTGTGAAATTTGGTACACAAATTAATGGTCCCCAGAGGATGAACTGTAATGTTGGCTTTCTAAATTTTCCATTCTCTCCTCCCTGATTTTTGTGTCACTGAGCAGGAACACCTTGTGCTTGTGCTTTTCAGTTGCAATGTATTGGATATTAAGAAAAATCAAGCAAATAAAACTACTTTGGTTATTCTTTGTGCTACTTTAGTGTCAAGTCTCACAACACTGAGAAGAAATACTATACCTATTGCCAGTTTCTTGTATAGCAACCTTATTTGCAAGATATCATTCATCCTTGAAGTGATGTTAAGCATATCACATAGCCTCACATAGACAAAGACTGGCTGTCAAATTTCAGCACAACATCCAAATTCAAGCTGTTTGTCAAATGCCATGAAAGCTGCTGCTTTTACCCAGCAACAGATGAATAGAGAAGAAGCCACTTATTGGGTTGCACCCTCCTGCTCACCACCCCACACCACATGAGCATCCCCACTGACAGAAACAAGATGAAGAAATGCTTCAATCTGTATCCAGGCTTTGCACAGAAGACAGCAAGGGATATCATGCTGCATGCCACCTTGTGGGTTTTTTTGTGCTTTAAACTGTCTGTGCTGCAAGAACAGATGAAGAATATGTCTGTTAGGACTCTACAATGAACCTCTGTAGCTGGCTGTTTTTTTTTAAATAGTGGCTGGGGGCTGGGTCCTGTCAGCATTACTACCCGTTAGAGGCTTGCTCATTGATGTTCACTTCCAGCAAGTTTCATGAGTGTTTTCAGGATATTTTTGTACACAGTAGTAGTAGAAGTAGTAAGAAATATCAGTAAAGAAATGGCATGTTATCTGTGTATCAGTGAGCATAAAACTTGTTTTAACCACTTTTCATATGATAAATGTCAAAATATCAAATGAATGCACTTCAATGCATCAATTTATAGCAATATTTAATTTCAGTGGCGTGGTCCCTGGTAGGCTAGTGGTTAAGGGGTTCAAATCAGGGTTGCGTCAGGAAGGGCATCCGGCATAAAACACGTGCCAAATGTCAACATGCAAGTGGTCAGTGTGACGATTCGCTGTGGCGACCCCTAAAACAGGAAAAGCTGAAAGTGACTTTCTTTCATTTAATTTCAGTGGAGTTACATGTAAATGGGTTTAACTGGACTGCTACTGGGCCAACTTCACCAGTTGCATTACACTTAAAAAGGTAGTTCACTAATCTTGTGACCATTAAAAACACACAAATAATGTAAATTCTGGTTCAGATAAAGGATGGTGTAAAAGCTGTCACTCTGGTGTTTGACTGGCACCGACTTCATATGATAGGTCTTGGTCTGTTGTCAAGCAAACTGCATGTTCTTTTTTTTTATGATTGTAGCATCAAAAGCTGAACTAATACAAAAGCCACCTGCTGAATGTCACCTGTCAAGGTATATGGGGAGTGTCCATAACAGATATTTGATAACCACAGTAAAACACATAACGCATGGACATCACTATTGGGTTTTATATTGTGTTCATGTCTTACTCTGTGTATTTTGACATTCTGTCATTAACAAGTAAATGAAACATACCAACCATACAGTAACTCCTGTTCTGAAATAAT